GGACTTTTTTGATCCCGTAGTATTCATTCAATTGTTGCTTTAATTAAGCCCCCCCCAGTGGCACAGACGTATGTCTACGGACTTACAACGCTAGAAACCGGGTTTCGATACCCATGGTTGGTGGAATACACATAGCCCATTGTATAGCTTCGTGCTTAACTACAAAATTCATTGTGGTAAACGAAATAATAATTTGATCTAAGTAAGAGTTTTTTTTTTCTTCCCGATTTGTAAAAAAATTATTTTCGAAATCTGCGTAGCTGAATTATGGAAAATCCGTTATTAAATCCAAAACAACTTTTATGAAATTTATATTCACAGACCTGTGTAGTCTTTTGTTAGTCGATCAAGAAATTCCGTGGTCTTAAGCTTTCCCTGTGTCTACGAAGGATTAATGTTTCCTAATTGACGTAAGTGTTGTTGTAAGAAGTCGTCAGGTTAGGTGGTGAGTCCAGTTTCAGAAGACGTTCTTGTCTAATTTCTTGAAAGTATAGAAGAACTTTAAGAAACCGAATCGTAATACGACTCTTCATTCAGTTGGGAAGTGTCGTATCCATCATCACCAGTATCACAGAAATACTTCACCAGATGAAAAGTTTCTCTTCTGACATTCCCCTTCAGAGATTCGTAAAGATTGACATCAATTGCGGAATAAGACATCGTACTAACGCCTTCGTTAGAATCTGCCGCAGAAGCAATATCAAAATTCGAGTCAATGTCTTCTTCTTTAACTTCGTGTAGTTTCTTAGTTTTCCAGCTATTCCAGAATCGGCTAAAACGATTGGTAAGGCGGGAAGAAGCAGACGATTTTTTAGAAGTGACAGAACTTGTAGATTTTACTGAATCAGATATTTTTTTAGAATCTAAAGTTTCAAAATTCCAAAACAGGCTGTTTGATCCGGTATCCAAGTCCATCTCCTCGTGTTTTTTCTCTTTTATTTTCTTGCGACAAGACGAGAGGAAGGGTCTTTTAGTATCTTGCACTTGGGGAACAACAGAATGTTCAATTTTTATTTGTTTTCGCCATCTGTCGGCTTCCACCGCGCAAAACATCAACATTCGCCGATAGGTGTCCGTTTTCTGGTAATCGAGATCGTCCAGAGATCGAACGAACATAAATGACGAGTCCAAGTCTATTTCAAACAGAAAAATGTCTTCATTAGTAATCGAACAAGCGAGAATAACATCTCGCTGCTGAACCTCTTCTAACCGATAGAGGGCTGTAGATTTATCTGTCAACTGTGGTCTCTGACCGCTCACTAGTCTTACAAGCAGTGGTAACTTCCAAACTTTCAGTAGGTTTGATAGCAAAAATACGTGGCCGATGGAGTTTGATTTTCGACAAGCGATTGTGTAGAAAACGCCAGAAGTATTGAGAGGTAAGAACACAATTTCTCCTTCCTGATTTAGACACTTAACAAATCTTCTACTGTTCTTGTCCGATGAATTTCGATCTACAGTAAGATCAGAGAAATTTTTGTAGCTAAAGTCTTCGTAGACGCCCAGAACCCGTAAGACTCGACCAGCTTTAGTCTGTGAAGTAATAGACAACAAAAAAAAAGACTATTTTTATTAAATGGTAGGTTAGATATATTTACAATATTTACCTAATTTTATTTACACATTAAGAAATAATGTTTATTGAGCTCTTTAGAATATATTAAGAATACATTAAAATTGTAACGTAGAAAACGTTGAATACGTTATAACAAAACGAGTTTCAATATGCAAATCAACAAGTCACGTGATAAACACAGCTGATTTAAAGTTGACATGGTACAGAAATAACTATATTTTGACATTGACTGGGTCCACTGGTAGGTTACTGGTAGGTTTATGTATTTACAACGCTAGAATCCGGGGTTCGATTCCCCACGGTAGACACGGCAGATAGTCCAATATGGCTTTGCTTTAAGTTTGTTTGTGATTTTTTATTATTATGTTTGTTAAGACAAATGCAAACAAACTGAAGAAAATGGAAGAACATTGATGTCAAACGAATATGCATCCCCATTCATACTGATTTTTGTGTGTGTGCGTGAAATCTGCGTCTTTTAGTCTCAAAACTACGTGTTGTGGTCTATGTTTTATGTATTGCCTTATGACGTTTTGTGAATAATCTGTACGTGATGGAGCAAAAATGGATATCATTTTCGTATTCCGTAGAACATGTAAAATTTTCAAGACAATAAAACCATCGCAGGCCTGTGTTATGGTAATCTCAGGTTGTTAACCATAGCGTTTGAAGATTATCTTATATCAGGTTGTGAATAAAAATATTCAAATCAAAATTATGTTATTCTTTAAACTTAGAGAAAAAGGTTCACAAATTAAATATAAAGTTACCAAAGAAATTCAGCGTGACATTGTTGCCACTAAACTTTGACAAGTACACACTGACTTTTTTAGTTCGTGTGTTAAAATTCTATCAGCATGTTTTACCTAAATTTAAGTAAATGCATAAACCAAAATCCTTATTTTTAACACAACCACTACAATAATGTGAATAATTCCGCACGAGGATGTTACTTTTCTTATGGAAATATTTTCGATTTTTTTGTGTCTATGCATATTTTCATTGCAATATAACAATAAT